CACAACACCTGCTCTGTTAAGTTGAGGGGATACAAATTTAGACTACTGTTTTTGGGGGGTTTGGGGGGGTTTTTTGGTTTTTTTGAGACAGACTCTCTGTTGCCTGAGCTAGAGAGCCATGGCGTCAGCCTAGCTCACAGCAACCTCAAACTCCTGGGCTCAAGCGATCCTCCTGCCTCAGCCTCCCAAGTAGCTGGGACTACAGGCATGCGCCACCATGCCCGGCTAATTTTTTCTATATATTTTTAGTTGGCCAATTAATTTCTTTCTATTTTTAGTAGAGATGGGGGTCTCGCTCTTGCTCCTGACCTTGAGTGATCCTCCTGACCTTGAGTGAACTCCTGACCTTGAGTGATCCTCCCCGCCTTGGCCTCCCAGAGTGCTAGGATTATAGGCGTGAGCTGCCACGCCCAGCCTACTGGTTATTTTTAGTTCTTATCATTCTCAAAACTGTATTATTTCTCTGAAATTGGTAACTGAAGATACTCATTTTTTCTTATTACAGCAAAAGAGTTCCTCAAAAGTTTCATTATAAACACAAGAAACTTTATTTAGTGATATAATTTTAACAAGATATTGTTAGATATCTTGATGTACATAATGTTAGATACCTTGATATACAGAATGGGTCTATCTTAATTGACTTGGCAGTTTTAGAGCATGTTAACATTTAGGTTTGATTAGGTTTCCCAGGACATCTGTTGTGTACTTAGTATGTGAAATGTTTCTTTAATCTTTCATTTTACCATCTTTTCATCCAGGTGAAGAATCTAGATCAGGTGTCCTCAAACTATGGCCCGAGTGCCACATGTGGGTATTTTTGCCCATTTGTTTTTTTTACTTGAAAATAAGATATGTGCAGTGTGCATAGGAATTTGTTCATAGTTTTTTTAAAACTAGGATCCGGCCTTCCAATGGTCTGAGGGACAGTGAACTGGCCCCCTGTTTATTTTATTTTATTTTTTTCTTTTTAACCACCTTGGCACATGTGGATGGCCCCCTGTTTAAAAAGTTTGAGGACCTCTGATCTAGATGAAGGAATATCTTTACATAGAAAGTCACGTGGAAAACACCCTATTTCAGAAATAAACAGAACATTGTCACTAGAGCCTATTCTTTCTCCTTGCAAACTCTGGGCCCTTAACTACTTTAATGTTGTTTGGCTTTGACAGTGTAGTGTGACCAGAAGTCAGCCCTAGTAAACTTTGGGGAAAGGACTTGGTGGAATGGAGGAAAATTAAACCTGATGGTGAAAAGGCAGGTTTGGTTTTTATGTCTATAAGTTATCAGTGCATTGTCCATATTTTTGCTGTGGATGATTGAGAGGTAGCTGATTATCTGGCCAGGTCATTATAAAACTGACAAGTCAGAATTGTGGACTTTCCGAAATGATAAGCGCATGAATAAAAATGCTGTATATTTTATATACAGGTTCAAGAAAGATTGACTTTCTAAATGAGTCACTATTTGGGGGAAGAGAATGCTATCACCTTTGTAAAGTTGTGAATTATGAAAGACATTTCTGTTGGGTTACTGAATGTCCCTTGGGGTTTGTTTCATTTATAACATTGCCTCAGGCCTTCTGCTGCATCCTGTTGGAGTGACCTCCTTTTCAACCCTGTGCTGGCAGCTGTAATACGCTTTTTCCTCTAGGTCTTTCAGGCTTGTCACATGACAGACATGAACTGTGACCCTTTTGTTCCTTACCCAGATGATTAGGTCTCTATTTTTCTTTTTTTGTTTTGCCTTATTTTTACCCCCACCTCTTGTTTCCATTTTAATTTCTTACCAAGACAAGGTTTTTTATAGCAGTCTAATTTTTTTATTGAAGTGTAACGTCAATATGAAAAGTATACACATTATAAGCTCACTGAATTTTTTTCACAGCATAACCACATTCATATAGACAGAACTTAAATCAAGAAAGAAACATCACCAAAGCTCTAGAAAACCTCAATTCCCTTCTGACTACTTCTCATCTCCCCCACGGGAACTCACTGTCCTGACTTTTTTAGCTTTGCCTGTTTGGAGACTTGGTAGAAATGGAATCATACAGTATGTGTTTCTTTTTCATTCAGCATTTTTGTAATATTTTTCCATGTTATGTTACACAGTTGTTATTGTTGTGTAGAATTTCATGATATGAATAATCCACTATTCTACTTTTAGTGAGCATTGGGATTATTTCTAGTTTAGGGCCATTGTGAATAATAGTGCTAAACATTCTGGGTATTTAAATAGATGTAGAATTGCCAAAACATAGTATTCATCTAGCCATGTAGTTTGAAAGTTCATATAAAACACTAAACTACTCATTTTAGGCAAACTCTTGGTAAGAAACATTTGTAAACATATCTAGATTCAGCTTTAGCATAATGTATCTATTTTATGGCTAAATAAAGTACCTTTAGTTAAATGTACTGTAGTTTTAAACATAACTCCTATAAATAACAAAATTGCCACTCACTGCCAGTTATACATTTTACTTTCTTCCTAATGTGTACTTTTTATTCAGTTTTCCAAAGCTGAGTTGTTGGGCCCATTCTGCAAAAATCTTATGAAGATATTTGGATGGTAATAATTTACAGTAGTCAAGATTGCATCTGAGTTAAATCACCTCCGAGTAGCAATGCTAGCAGAGAAGAGTGACATTCTAGTGCTTCACTGCCATGCTTAGCCGAAGTTCCAGAGGCTGACATTTTTACTTGTACAAATTGCATTCATTACCAAGAACCCTGCAGAACTAGTGAGAGACTGGCTGTATGCTGTAGATGGGCTCCAGGATAAGTAAGCAAACAGTTGTGCAGCAGAGACCAATCTTTTTTTTTTTTTCCTCTCTTAAAATGTGGACTTTCTACAGTTTGTAACATGGATACTTATGAACTAGTTTAAGCTAATGAACATAAAAATATGATTATGATATCATATTTTTCAAAAACTGGATAGTATCTTTTAAGAAAATTTTATTTGACCACTAGTGCTTCCTATGTTATACTGTGAACATGTATGGAATTAAGTTGATTGGTTTTGACCATGGTGTTTTGGAGACTTTGAAGGATTCTCCTCACCTTCTTCAAAACAACTAAAACAGTGGAGGGAATACTTAAGATTTGATGGTTATAAAAGGACAGTAACAGAACCAGAAGATTTGCTTCCTGTCTTTTCTTATATATGTCTGTTGGGTGGATAAAGAAGAGTTGCCAATTTTATTGAGATTTTTTTTAAACAAAAATGGTAAAAGGAATTAAAGAATAAAGAATTTCATGTTTTATAAAACTATCTTTTGAGAATTCTGTGTTTTTCTTCCAATTAAAAAATTGTAATATATTTGCATATTGATATTCAGAGAGCTATGTATTTACACATTGATATTTAGAAAACTATTTTAATACAGAGGTATTGGGTTTCATTCATTTTTAAATGACATAACTCACATTGGCTGTTCTGTTTTAAGCCAGTATATTCAAATCAGAAAATATTATTGATAATCTGCATTGTTCTGTGTATTTTGCTAAGCTGTAGAGGGGACAGAAACAATAGTCCCTGTCCTCAGAAAGCACATGGTCTAGTGGGTGTGTGGGTGGTGGGAGCATGCACGGATTACTATACTATAATGTAAGGTAATTGCCACAGTGAGAATTCTTTGTGGGGAGGGGACAGCTAGACCCATTAGAAATGAGTTTTAAAGGATGAGTAGCTGGGTCTAGGGTGGCCCCTTTGCTGATCTCTGCTTCTTGGCAAAGGAACAGGGTGGCTGGAGTTAAAATGCTTTTGTAAAGGAGCAATGGAAATAAGGCTGGAGGGAAGCCAGGGTGATGAGTTTATATAGATATCCACCTGATATGGTGCATAATATAGCACAGTAATTAAGGGCACGCACTTTAGATGATATTAGAAATTGAGTCCCAGCTCAATTTTGCTTTGTGACCTTAAACAGATTGCTTAACCTATCTATGCTCAGTTTCCTCCTTTGATAAATGGGGACAGCACTCATATAACTTGCTACAATGCTGTATAAAAGAAAAGAGATATGTGTGAAAAGTGCTTAACATAGTTATTAACATTTAACAAGTCTCAAGTAGCTTCTCTGGACAATGGGTAACCACTGAAGATTTTGGAACCATGGTATGGTTGGATCTTAACCATGCAAGGCTTTTACTGTTATTTTTATGATTGACATACAAAAGACTACACACATTAAAAGTGTACAGTTTGATAGATTTTTATGTATGTATACATGTTTGAAATCATCACCACAATCAAAATAATAAACACATGTATCACTCCCAAAAGTTTTGTATAAGACCTTTAAAGAGGAAAGTCTGGCCTGCAATGTGCAGGAAAGAATGAAGCACAGCAGCGCCCGGAAGTGGAGACGTCAGTTCAGATGCTATTGCCATGTCCGGGTCATAGGGAAAGAGTGGAGAGGTCATGGGAGTATAGGGCCCATTTGAGAGTCAGCGGCTAGAGGACAGGGCTGAGTCTTCATCTTTTTTTTCCTGTTTTTGTTGTTGTTGTTGTTTTGTTTTGTTTTGTTTTGTTTTGTTTTGTTTTGTGAGACAGAGTCTCACTCTGTTGCCTGGGCTAGAGTGCTGTGGCATCAGCCTGGCTCACAGCAACCTCAAACTCCTGGGCTCAGGCGATCCTCCTGCCTCAGCCTCCCAAGTAGCTGGGACTACAGGCATGCACCACCACGCCCAGGTAATTTTTTCTAGATATTTTTAGTTGTCCAACTAATGTCTTTCTATTTTTAGTAGAGACAGTGTCTTGCTCTTGTTCAGGCTGATTTCAAACTCTTGACCTCGAGTGATCCTCTTGCCTCGGCCTCCCAGAGTGCTAGGATTACAGGCGTGAGCCACCGCGCCCGGCCTGAGTCTTCATCTTTACATTCTCCCCAGTACCCGGCCCAGTGACCAGGGGACAGTGGGCTCATACATGCTAGAATTTCTCCTTGTGAAAGATTCCTTATTTTAAACTGCTTCTCCTTTTATTCTGTTTAGGGGTTAAAAGACAGCCTTCTTGGGACATCCAGCCTGGCCACCCCCAAACAGTTACTCCGTCCGAGAATCACGAGAGTCTGCCTCAGGGACTTGATATTCTGCATGGAACAGGAAAGGGAGATGAAGTATTCCCGAGCTCTATACCTTGCCCTTCTGAAGTGACTGCTCCACTCTCCATCCAGATCCTTGCTGTTTACTGCCAAAGACGACATAACGAGCATTGTTGCACTCACTGTCCTGCAATTTCAATTTGTGGAAAATAATCACCAATATGGAAGATCATTGTTTACAGTTACAAACTTTTATTAAGTCTTACCTATCCATCCCATGGTGTTCTTACAGACTAGAATTCATCTGTGTTCTCTGAAAATCGGTTATGAAATGCACTTTACACAGAAGTAGGCATTTGTCTACCTGTGCATTTAATTACAGCAAGTTAAGGCCCTGTTTGTTACTACCTGCTTCATTTGCCAAATTATAACAGGTGAGTTGTCTTTCCCTAATACAGCCTGCTTTGAGATGCAGGAGAAAGGAGGAAGAGTTACTGAAAGAAATTGTAGGAAAAATACATTTCATCCTATACTGAACCAGTCTCAAAGTATGTTAGGTTGTCTGGGCTGGAATCAGAAGTTGCTTAGCTAGCCAAAGGTGACTGGCCACAAAGTAGGGCCCGTGATGACTGGTCAACTGAGGCCCAGTGTTGTCACAATGAGAGACATGGGGATAGATTGTGCCTGGCATTGCTAATTCTCTGGTTCATATCACCATGTGCTGCTTCTGATACCAAGTGATGGGGCATCTTTGTCAGACAAACCTTAAAATGGAAGCTGCTGATGTACCTCATTGAGAAAATGGAAAAGGTGGGAAGGATTGGAAGGAATGATAGGGTATTGCATTCAAACTTATGGGGAAGATGAAAATGGAGTCATAAAACAGGAAATGTGCTGCATGTGCCCAAGGGGAGAAGCGGTGGGATTGGAACTCCAGAACAACTGGTACATGTTCTGTTGATGGGGGAAAAATAACTCATAGCCCAACCAAAAAGAAAAATGTACCAGTCAGAATCTCGCTATATTGCCCAGGCTAGTCTTGAACTGGTCTCAAGCCGTCTTCCCACATAGCTGAGACTGGTCAAATTACACTATTTCAAAAGGAAGAAGTTATTTTTTTATTTTTGTTTTAAATCCCAAGAAAGATGGTTTTTGTAGTTCCTTCTCATAATATCTTTTAGTTACCCTAGGTTTTAAGCATCTTAGTGCATTTAAAAATCCCAGTTGATGATTAAAATATTTTAACAATAGGATTCCATTTTGGATTCTGTCCTTAAAGGTAAAGTCAGTACCTCAGTATTGGGGATCTTGGCTTTAAATATGAGAAGCATGTTATATATATTCATGTAAGGAAGAAGCTGATAGGCAAAGTAAATCCTCTTTAAAAACATATTCCACCTGTGTGGAATGAACCTGGTGAAAAACAATAACTAGTTAGTATCACATGCAGAAAGAATGATTACATCCTCCAACCAAAAGGGTTTAAAAAATGGGAAATGCTGTACTTTTTAGAAACAGAATTCAGAGGTGGAAAAAAGTTACTCTTCATCCTGTTCTTCCCATTGGGATGGTTCTGGCCATATTATATACTATAGTAAATTTTAAATGGGCCACATTTTTTGTTTCAGCAAGTTATTATGTAAGATGCTATAAATTATGTATATGTTAAGAGTACTTTAAGAAGAGATCTATACGCAAAGTCGTTTTTGTATATTTAAATGCTTAGCTTTATTTTTTTGTAAAGTGCAGCATACTCTCATATTTGTGTATAATCTTATTGATCAGATGTTTAAAATTATTTCAAATACTTCATTAAAATAATTATTTTACATAAGTAACTTTGCTCAGTCACTGACTTTGAAAACAATTGTCATTAGTAGTCAGTCCCTGAAGTGCTTAAATCTTCTGGGCAGTGAATCTTTCTTGGCTCTGATTGTTAGTTACTTTGGAGCATGGGCATTTGGATTCCAGAAACTCACTTCAGATCCAACTTGCTATAATATATCACTTTCTTTGAAATAGTTGTAAATTTGCATGCTATTTGACTCACAAAGTGAAGCATATTTATTAAAGCTTTTCTTGGCCCATCAGGGTTTTCTTACTAAGGTATTCTTTTTCAAAATTTATTTTTGCTATACACTTTTAAACTTCATGTTAAGTGTATCTTACACAGAAAAGAGTAAGTGTGTCTAAGGTATTTTTCCACTCAGTTTGTAAAATGGTGGCTTTGGGGTAGATTTGACCTATTAATGCATTCTCCTGATTCACACAGTATTACCAGTGTTTTAATTCACAAGAATCTATATATACATTTCTTTAGAAATATTAGAAGATCAGGAATTACTAAGTTTACTCTTTTGTATAACAATAATCCACTGGAACAAACCAGTGGCTATCTACTTTAGATTTTGGGGCATGTGTTCACCTCCACCTTCCCTTGCCTGATTCTTTAAGCATTGGACTTTATGACCCTCTACCTTCAATATTTGTCTTGGGTGATGAACAGTAAAAGATGAAAGTGCCAGAAATTCTCCATCTATTTACTATTTTTAAGCCAACTTTATTGAGGCATATTTTACACATAAAATTTGCCCATTTCATTCATTTACTTTTAATATGACTGACCTTTTTTTTTTTTTTTTTTTTTTTTTTCGGCACTGCATAATCACACCACGATTAGTTTTGTGCTGTGCATTGACAGACGAGCTTCCGTTTTGCTCCTTGTGTGATGAAGGCACAAGCTTTAAAGGCGCACTGCGCGAAAGCTTGTTTTACTTTATAGGCACGCTTTCCTACCTTGTAATGTAATCAGAATAGGTAACCCATGACGATATATGTCTTTTATTATGTTGATTCTTTTAAATCGGTTTCACAATTTTATTGATAAATGAAAAACTTACGAAGAGTCATATCTACAGCTGTCAGCTACAACGTCGACGCACGTACGCTGAAGATGGTTAAAAGGTCAGTCAATGACCCCCCGGCGGCCCGGTGGCTCACCGCCTGTAATCCCCTGCCCTGCTCATGGGAGGCAGGGAGGCCGGCGGAATTGTTGAGGTGTCAGGAGTCTCGAACACCAACAACGCTGACGCAGGAGCGAGAACGCGGTCTCTACTCATACAAATCCAGGAACACACGAATTCAATCGTGGCCACACTAATATAATCACTCACCGCAAAAAAAAACTTAGCCGGGCATCAGGTGGCGCATGCCTGTCAGTCGCAGCTACACTCGGCGCACGCCTCGACGCGCAGAAGCGATCGCCCCGCTGAGCCGAGGGACTCTTGAGCGCTCTCACCCTCTCGTGAGCCTACTGACGCCCACGGCCATTCACCTCTAGCCTGGGCAGCCCAAGTGAGACTCCTGTCTCAAAAAAAAAAAAAAAAAAAAAAAAAAAAGGTCAGTCATCATTAGAAGAAGCTAAATGAATGAACCCATCGGGGCCCAAATTTCATGTGTAAAATCATGCCCTCACTCCAAAGTTGGCTTACAAAATAGTAAATAGATGGACGATTGTCTGGCAGCTCTTCATCTTTTACTGTTCATCGCCCCCAAACGACCAAACTATTTGAAGGTACGACGGGTCATAAAGATCAATCTTAAAGATGCAGGCAAGGGAAGGCGCGACGGCGCGGTGACACCACATGCCGCAGATCTAAAGTAGCAATAGCCGCACCCCCCTGGTTTGTCCTCCAGTGGATTATGTGCTTATACCCACAAAGAGTACAACTTAGCTAATTCCCTGAGATCCTTCTAATATTCTGCCTACCAACGAAACCCCTGTCACCTATTATCCGACCGGCGATTCCTTGTGAATATAAAACACTGGTAATACACTGCTGTGAATCAGCGAGACATGCATTAATCAGGTGCAACATCTACCCCACAAGCCCCCGGGGCCATTCCTTAGCAACTGCGAGTGGAAAACATCACCCCTTAGACACCCACACTTCACTCTTTTCTGTGTAAGCTACACTTCAGGCATGAAGTTTCAAAAGTGCTATAGCCAAACAAATAAATTTTGAAAAGAATACCCTTCAAAGTAACGGACAAACCCTGATGGGTCGCAAGAAAACTTTAACACACTATGCTCTCACCTTTGTGAGCTAAAGAATATCGCAGGCCAA